GTTGACTTTTTATTAAAAGTTTTTAATTTTGATTGTTATTATTTGAAATAGTTTAATCAATTAAATTTTATAAAACATATATTTAGAAACTATTTCATCCAAAGTTTTTAAAATATATTTTATATTTTTATCATTAATAAATATAAAATAATAAGAGATCAAAATTTAAAAAATTTTACCAAAAAATCAAAATATGACTATTTAATTGAGACAACAAGAGGTACTAAATTTTGTATATATATATATATATATATATTAATTTTCGTATGAAAAAAATAATATATATCTGAAATTAACAGTTACTTGTAAGAGATGTAACTTTAAAAGCGATAAGGTTTAGAATGTTTGTGTCGGTTTAAAATCTTTTCCTGATTCTGCAAAAAAAAAAAAGAAATCTTTTTCTTGATTACGACAAATATTCATTCTTGCTAACATGTATTATCATCTCATTTAATTTGTACGTCCAATGGATAGTGTAATGTCTCCCAAAGTTACTCGTACTGATTAGGTTCACTATTAAAAATAGTTTCAAACTCTCTTGAACAAGCATTTTCAATGTTGCTGTCTTGCTGTATGTATCATGGGTCGAGATTTAAGTTCTGAACTCGCGCGGCTTCGAGACCCGGGCATTCACCCTTTCGGCATTCCAGATCAACCTGACCGTTATGGTTCACATCCTTGTGAGGTATTGTCCGCTCTGATCTCCTGACCTCACGGTTTTGTCCTACAAAAGACGTCTCACAAGGCGGAGATGGTGTGAACCCTTTTATATCTCAGTGACCTTCCTATTATGTTCGATGTGGGATTCAGGACTTCTCCTTAGGTCCGTGACATATGCATGTGATTGATCAACGGATTAAATCTGCAGCCTATCCTCTTTATTAGAAGAACAAATGGTAACAAAGTCAAGATTTTTTTATAAAATTATTGTTTTTAAAAAATTTATTAATGAATTTACTAATTTTATCAATGAAAAATTTGTACAAAAAAATTTATTTGGGATATTTGCGAGAAAATTTTTTTATTCTTCAATTGTTGAGGGTGTCCGTAAACACTCTAATTGAATAAGTCGATCCATCCCCAAAAATAGACATATCACATTAAGTGACCGACCGTTCATAAGTTAATTAACATATTAATTATGATCACTAATCTAGTTTATTAGCTAGTTTGGTCCTACAAAGGCAATATATATGAGAATCTCCTTCACAATAATATTATTCCAAATGTTGGTCGAACCTGGGACAGTGGACGCCATGGTGGGGGCTGACGAAGGCACTAAAAATATGGCCTTACCAGGCTGCCCTTTGATTCATTATTTCTCGCCTAATCAGCTTCATATTGTTGATGAAAAGGTTCATAATCAGGGAGTGATTTACTTAATCTTTAACTCAAACCAAAGAGGATACGAATCAGTTTAGTGGCTGACAGAAGGATCATCAAGCTTTTAAAAGAAGATTAGATGAATCAAATTCTTTGGAAAGGATCCAAGTTTAGTTATTGTTTATTCTTTTAATTTTATCGTGTTCTCTTTACAGTTGCTGGTTTGATACCCCTTGCTATAACATTTAGTTCAGGTTGGGTAAGAGTTTTATTACTTTGGCTGGCAATTAGGGTGTTTTTTACTTGCTTGGTCTCCCTGGAGGAGTACTAAATACTAAGAGTTCTTTGTTTTTTCTCCTTTTTCCATTTTAGTAAAGAAGATCAATCATATCCTTCTAACCCATTAAGCTATATTATTTTAAAACTCGAAACTTAGGTTCCATTTGAATGGACCATGAAATTGACTGCAGTAAAATAAAAAAAAAATAATAAAATATACTATAGCTACGATTGAAAAAAAATTATTGTAATTATGATTGAAAAAAAAATAATAAAAAATTTATACTGATTTGATCTCACTAGAGTTTACATTTGAATTTAACTAGAGATATAGTGAGCTTAATCGCATCGCACCTCATTGAAAGCACGATGAAATCCAAACGGAAACTTTACTAAGTTGGTTCGTATAATCATTATTAAAATATAACATTAATATATTTAAAATTCAAATTTTAATACTTAGTAACATCTTCTATTCTCAAACTAAGATATTTTTTCATAAAAAAAATTGTCCTAACTACAATACTTTTGAAACTTCAATAAATCTTATATGAGTTTAGTTTATGACAAAAATTATGACTTCAATTTTTACATGGCCAAGACTAATGATTTTTTTTTTTTGGAGAAACTTACAATGATAAATAAATAATTAATTAATATACTAAAATATAATTAGATAATTAAACATGCACATAATGAGATTAGAATTTAAAATCTCAAGATTATAAAACTTTGTATCAATGCATAAATCAACTGGTTAATGCTTTGAATTCAAAGGTATATAATATAATGAGAAAGATTAAACGAGGAAGCTTTTCATTTAAGAAGATCATGAAGGAATAGTTGCTTCTCAAGATGTTGATATCAGCTTAGGAGGCAGACTGTTCTATCATTAGCATATCTAAACTTGATTTAACTTTTGCAGAATTTATGAGCCAAGTCCATCTCTCAAAAAAAAAAAAAAACTTGTATTATTGATGGAGGTATGGCTTACAATGGAATCAGCCCCATGAAAACGCCATAAATCCCTGAAATAAAGGAAGAAAAACGACGTTAACTTGAAGACTTACGAAGCAGGAACAATCCTTCTTGGACTAAGGGTGTTCAACTGTTGCAGTGCCCTAATCAATGGGTCCATCAACATTTAGACTGACAGTTAAAGCCTCATGCAATGGCTCTGCATATGCAGCACTCAACACTGCGATCCGTTCCGTTTGCAAATTGTAATATGACTGTACCTCTTAGGCTCCACATAATGGTGATATACAGATCTTACCAGCTCAACACTTTGAATTCATTTCTGTCATTGCCCGCTGGTTCATATGCTTAATGTTTGAGCTTGTTGCTGGGGCTGGCTGGCAGACTGGGTTGATGACTTTTTAAAGTAGTTTTCACACTCATTGCCAGGATTCAGTATGACTACTTTTCATAGATGAATATGTACTTGGCTAAAGGAATGACCCTTTTAGGAAACCAAGGTTGTTAATTTTTTTCAAAAAGAAAAGATTATACTTCCAACCTGGCCAGTTCTGAAATTCCTAACAAAAAGTAATTCTGAAAACAAATTAATGAAGTTTTAAGTTAATTTCATTATTCCAGTACAGATTATCATACATGGTTAGGCCGGCATCAAATTAGCCTAGATTAGAAATTCTTAGGTACCCATTCTAGCATACAGGTAGATTTAGACGGAATTATTTAGGATAAAATTATGAAAATTTCAATTAAAATTGATTAAATAAAAATAAAAATTAAAAATAAAAATCAAAATTGATAGAAAAAAAGGCTTTGTTAGATCAACATGTAAAATTTTAAGAAAAGTTAATAAATTTTGATATATTTATAGATAATTATTTTTAGTTAAAAATTTGATAAAATTTTACCTTTGAATAATACTTATCAAATTTAAATTATAAGTGATATTTTTAATTTTTTTTATATATTATTTATTTTCTTATTTAATTCTATTAATTTAATTTTTATTAAAATTTTAATTAAATTCTTTTTATTAAAAAATTTCATCCAAAAAAAACTTCCTCGAGTTTTTCCCAATAATTTATTGCATTTCAGTTGTAATTTATAAGATACCTGGAATTTGTCTCCAGAAGTTGTCAGAAGCTGCCTTAGCCCATTTCGCTGATGTAGCTAAAGGCCTACAATCTTGGAAAGTTTTCATAGCCCATCTAGCTGGATAGGGCTGGAAGTCCGTATTGGGCAACTTAGGGCCCTTTCAAATGTTTTTGCTTTGACTTTTGAAGGAATGCTTGAATTTTGAGACGAGGAAAGGAAAAGTAGTGTTTTGTGTATTTGTATAGTATAAAATATTATAATTTATATATTTATATTATAATTTATATAAAAAATATATGTTATTAT